TGACAGGCAGTTAGCCTGTGATTATAAAATCGCCTGATAAACAGGAGATGTGTATCACTTTCCTGCTCGTCTTTTCTTTTACCTTCACATCTTCCCCCTTCATCTCCATCTTTCTGTCTTTCCTCCTCCTCAACACAGCAAGCTTCGACTCCTTTTGAGGTTAGCTGTTCTAGAAAGCTCCTCACAATTTGTGGAAAGTAAGTGTTTCTCCTTCACCTCTTTGTTCAAAAGTGGTTAATATTTTTTAGCCCGGAAACGGAAAAACAACCATTGTGCTCGAGTCAGTCAGATGATTTTGGAATGAAGCGTATTCCTTTTTTTTTTTTTTGCCTGAGTGTGTCTATGGGCAGTGTGCTGTGGTTTGTTGCTTCAGGCAAGCGCTGCCACTGGGTACTTATCAGAGAGAAGTGCTTCTGTGTATGTGTGTGATAGTGGTGGGAAAACCCAGAGCTATAAAAAGACATCAAAACATCTGTCTGTCAGTGTCAGGGCAGCAGGGTGTATGAATATTCAGTTGGTAGCGGTGCCCCCATCCCTCAAACAATGCTGAAGGGTCCAGGGGCCTTGCTCGCCACACCACCTGGCCCCCAGTGGTGTACTGTATAGTGAAATATAACCTGCTAACACAGCTGAGAGTGAGGATGTGAAAGCTGTAGGAACTGAATATAGAGAGTGTGATCTTCACAGAGAGAGATGGTCTGTTTAACCCACATTAGCCTCTGCCGTCTCAATTAAACCGCCCTACAATCCTGCGGGGGGGTTCAGGTGTGCACAGTGACACCGGGAGCACACAGAGTGAGTGAGAGTTCAGCAAGCAAAGCCATAAAGCTCACCCAGCAGAGACAAACACTATGAATCCATGGGGTGTGAGGAAAGTGGATGATCCAAACTGAATGTACTGTCCTGGCCACATCCTAAGTGGGTTGCATATCACCATCAGTCACACGTGCACCCATCCTTCTCCTCCCTCTGAACTGCCCATCTTTTTTTTTCTTTTCCTTTTTATTATTTTTTAAAATACTTTTCTTCCTCTTTTGGCTGAATGTAATTATTTCAATATTGCCACCTTGGGTTTGAAAAATGAATCTTTGTCTGCTGCATCGGATATGATTTCGAGTTAATAAAATATTGTTATTGTTCTTTGCAAAAAATACAAATCTGGTGTGATGTGGTGATTTTTAAAATTTTATGTGAACTGTAGTTAATGACGGATGAGAGTAGCGTTGAGCTAACAGCATTTTATGGTTAGATAATGAACTAATACATTTGTCTCTTTAAAGACATTTACTACTGGATAGTCACTGTGGTACATGCGCCATAAAGCCTGTTGCAGTTAGCCCCCTGACATGACGACGTTATCATTATTAAGTTATTACCTGGGCAGAGGACAGCAGTCGGAGAGGAACCACACTGAGTGGAGCCGCTCTTGGTGAGTATTTAATTTTTCCATGACATCATGGCACACTGGGGAGATTGCTTATCCATTTGGAGGGGAGGGAATTATCTGAGCAGGACGTGATGGTTTTCAAATCAAGACTGGTGTGTATGATCAGGGCTTTTAGATGCCTGGACCCCATGGACAGGTTTAGTTTGTTGGAGTGTAAATAAGATGCTCCTTGTTGAGATTTTGTGAAACTGTGTTATTTTTATGCAAAATTCCAGGTTTTCAAACACAAACGGGTACATTTCCAGAATTGCTGCCAATTACAACACTTTGACATAGCATCAAAGAAAAAATGATTGAGATACCATACAGTGGTCTTGATCGTGGCGTTCACAGGATTTCACAGGTTTATGGGTGATTTGACAATGAATAGTCGTTTCTCAAATATGCTAAATGAAGCTCCTTTGATGTTCTTCAGCTCCCCACTGCTGCTCTGTGCCTTGTCTGCTCTAGCCTCATTAACATAATTTCATAGTTCTCTTTTCTAATTGATCCGCAGTGCACCTTGTGAAGATGCACCATCTGTTAGAAGCCAGGCATGATAGTGCGCTCTACACCGAGGAGACAACAATGTGCTGCTCAGAGACTGAAACCATTCCCAGTGGAGATGCTGGATCTCTGCCAGGATGCCCGGGTATGAAAACCTCTGCTGCTGCAAGAGATGGCCGAGTCTCTACATTTTAAAATATCCTCTATTTTCTATTACTCTGCACTTTTTTGTGGCCATAGCACAGAGTTTACTTAACCATGTTAGGAAAAGTTGTATTTTAAATGAGTGAGGCTATATTTACCTGAGGTAAAAATTTCATGCTTCTCAATGTCATTTTTCACAATCTTAAATGAAAAATGTTCACACACTATCCATAAAAGTATTATGACAGTTTTGAATTGCAAAACAATTGTGCTGTCAATGGGCAAATGCCAGCACAATTATAGCTTTTAAAGTGGGAATGTAAAGGTCGAGCAGGATGCAATCACTTTGCCAGAATAAGAAAACATTCTGCACATTTTGTGACTCTGGCCTTGAATCTGTTTTCTCAGGAAGCACTCTCCATTGCAGATATGAACTTCAGTGAATCTGTTATTCCATTAGCAGGTAAACAAGATTTCAGTGGCAAGTTTTCTCCTGCATTATTGATAAAGTGTTCACACTGTGTGCAGGGCCAGTTTTAACGGACGACCTGGCCAGTCCACCACTTTGCTATTTCTGACCACATGCCAGAAGCAAGTGCCCCCCTTCAGCTTTATCTCTACTTCGTGTGTGTGTGTGTGAGAGAGACTGTGAGTAAGATGGTCTTCACTCATTATCAGTTTGTCGGTTACATTCTTGGCTCCAGTGGCTGGACAAACCGCCATTTATGGCTCTAACGACTCTCAATGCACCGGTGCTTTATAAAAACGCACAACAAAGAGCCCTGGACACAGGGTGTGAGAGGTTTGCAGCTGCCACTTAGACTGTCAGTGCAGTATAGAGTAGTATCATATTTGAGAAAAGGTCTTGTTTTGTGAGGCTCAATTTTATCAGGAGTGGAATTGTGTGTTACTGCATATCCTTCACTATGACATCTCTGACATCTTCCAGCCGTAGATCCTCCTCATCCTATCGGACTTCATCATGTTACAGCACCTCCAGCTCCTACCGATCCGAGGGCTCACTGGGCAGATCAGCTGACTCTCTGGACCCCCTCTTTGAGCCGTTTCTTGACTCTGCCGATCATCCGGGTCTGTTTGGAGAAGAGGGCTCTGGGGGACCCAGCTGTTTGCCCCCCTTCAGCAGGCACAGCAGATCCTCCTATGGACACACTGGTAACGGAACTGACTAGTTACTAAACTCTGCGCCCACCAATTACTGTTACAGTGCCTGCCAAGCTTTCTGTTCACAGCGAATAATGCAGTTTACAAGTTTTTAGTTCAATTTAGTTTGTAGCTGGCTGAAATGACAGCTTCTGACAGTTAATTGCTCCATACATGCAGTACAGATATTGTGCTAAAAGACTACAGGTTGAAAGTCAGTGTTCTCATCCTTTGATGACATGAAGGTGCAGCATTGTTCTGCAAATGTTAATGCAGTTATTCCTAGTTTCATAAGTCAGATAATGAAAAATGTACAGTGTGATAAGCACACAAAGTTCTTGTAAAGTGCTAATTAATTGGAAAAACAAGTAATGTGTATAATTAAATGTATCCCTAAGCTTATTCATATGAACCCATGCTCTAAATTCATAGTTTTCATTTACACTTCTACTGAAAAATGCTTCTAAACATTCCTGTCCTACTCCCATAATATTCCATGTGTTCTTATTTATATCGCTGTATACGAGTTATAATGTTCAACCATCCTTTAACGCTCTCCTCTCAAACCTCTGCACGTCCTGTAATGTTCTTTTGCTCTGCAGGGTCCATAGATGGTGCCGTGACAGGCTGGCAGAGCACCACCAGTGCCAGATTCCGTTGTCTGGGAGACAGCTACTACATGTCTGCTAATGTCAGCCAGTTTGAGCCTCATGACATAGTAGTGATGGCGTATAACCACCATGTTGTCATTCACGCCCAGAAGGTATGTGTGTGTCTCAAAGTATGAGTATAAATGGGTAGGGGTGGTTTTATTGCACTTACGAAGGTGTAAACCGGATCTAGCAGAGCATGTGAAGATGTTTCAGGTTTGTTTTCACATTCATGCACTCACAGTTGTCACATTCATACATGAATGTGAGAATGAATGAGATTAGAGTGAATTTACTCATATCTGCTATTTGACTAATACAGTTTTGAAGGCAAAGACATTTTGGAGTTTGGACTGATGAGCAGCAATTCACTGCAGCGCTCAATCTTTAAATTAGACCAGCCGAGTGGAAAATAAATCTTCTCAGAGTGGGGAAAAACCTCAGAATAATATTTAGACCAGCAGGTGACTCACCATCATCCAGATCCCCTTAGTCATTATTTAAATGCAGCAGGAAAAACTACTGCTACAATTCTGTGCTAAAATTATGACCAAAGTTTGATAAGCATTTAAACTTCATTTTTGCTGCAAAAATGTGTAACATTTGTGAAGTTTCAGTCCTTTTCTCTGCTGTATTATTACAGTAAACTGAATATCTTTTCTACACTGTTGGACAAAATAAGGAATAAGTTGGCACCCTCTGCTCTGTGAACTTGTGATGGATATTTTTCATTATCTAAAATGTTAATTTAACCTCAACAATTAATAGTTTAATTTGGAGAAAAATATTCCAGAGTTCTCAACCCTAAGGTCAAGCAGAGTCCTGCATGGGTCCAACTGTGCAAACCTCCATGTCAGACCTGACCCGTTACCCACAGCTTTCTCTAAATAAAATCCAGACCCGACCAACCCATTGCCATAAGACCCATAACCTCACCAAAAACCTGTAATAGAGTGCCGTAGGGATGACTATTTTTGTAGACCAACCACGAAGTTAGCATCATCCTGTTTCCCTCCACAAAAAGCCAATAGGATTTTTCCATTGGCTTTTGGATTATTGCTGAAAATAAACTCTGTGACAAACAGCGGTTTAAGACACTTTAGAGTACACATTTTGTTCACCAAGATAATCTTCATTGGTTAACACCACTTTTTATGGTTTTTGAAGCCTAAACCCAATCACCAGAATTAAAAAGCTATTGTTAGGCTATACCACGGTCCCATGACTTTAGGGTCACCACCACAGCTTCCAACTTGTAAATTGATTTCTAGCGCTTTTCTCTTCTATAAAATCCTTAGCGTGACCTCATCTAGCTAGTGAAAATGGATGTGTCAGAATAGTTTGCAAGCGCGCGAGTTTAAAAATAATGAGGCTGTAAGGGCGGACTAGTGAGTAGATGAGTCTCCATGTTCAGGATGATGATGATTAATATTCCAGACAGCCTCTGTAGTCTCATTAGGCCACTTGTTACCACCATTTTTTAAGATGCATTAAAAAAAATCATGAGGTATTTATTTATGTATAGAACAAAATGTATTGGCCTTGTGTTAACCAGACCTTATTTCAGGCGTCCAACCAGAAACTCGTTCAAAAAACCCATTGACTTCAGGGCGAGGGAACTGGATGTGCAAAAATGACTGTTCTATTACATCAGACTTTAAGATACACTTACCGTCAGGGAAAAAATTATTTGAACCCCAGCTGATTTTGTAAGTTTGCCCACTAACAAAGAAATGACCAGTCTACAATTTCAATGGTAGGTTTATGTGAACAGTGAGAGACACAACAATAACAAAAAAATCCAGAAAAATGCATTACAAAAAAAGTTATAGTAATTTACATTTTCATGAATGAAATAAGTATTTGATCCCTTTGCAAAACGTGCTTTAGAACTTGTTGGCAAAACCTTTGTTGGCAATCACAGAGGTCACATGTTTCTTGTAGTTGGCCACAAGGTTTGCACACATCTCGGGGGATTTTGACCCACTCCTCTTTGCAGATCCTCTCCAAGTCATTAATGTTTCGGGGCTGATGTTTGGCAACTCGAACCTTCAGCTCCCTCCACAGATTTTCTATGGGATTAAGGTCTGGAGACTGACTAGGCCACTCCATGACCTTAATATGCTTCTTCTTGAGCCAATCCTTTGTTGCCTTGGCCGTGTGTTTTGGATCATTGTCATGCTGGAATACCCAACCACGACCCATTTTCAATGCCCTGACTGAGGGAAGGAGGTTCTCACCCAAGATTTGACGGTACATGGCCCCATCCATCCTCCCTTTGATGCGGTGCAATTGTCCTGTCCCCTTGGCAGAAAAACACCCCCAAAGCATAATGTTTCCACCTCCATATTTGACGGTGGGGACAAACACGGCGTGTTGAGTTAATGCCAAAGAGCTCGATTTTGGTCTCATCTGACCACAACACTTTCACAACATGACCCATGTGGCCCTTGGACCCAAAAAGAACAATTTTACTCTCATCAGTCCACAAAATGTTCCTCCATTTCTCTTTAGGCCAGTTGATGTGTTCTTTGGCAAATTGTAACCTCTTCTGCACGTGCCTTTTTTTTAACAGAGGGACTTTGCGGGGGATTCTTGAAAATAGATTAGCTTCACACAGACGGCTTCTAACTGTCACAGTACTTACAGGTAACTCCAGACTGTCTTTGATCATCCTGGAGCTGATCATTGGCTGGGCCTTTGCCATTCTGGTTATTCTTCGATCCATTTTGATGGTTGTCTTCCGTTTTCTTCCACGTCTCTCTGGTTTTGCTCTCCATTTTAAGGCACTGGAGATCATTTTAGCTGAACAGCTTATAATTTTTTGCACCTCTTTATAGGTTTTCCCCTCTCCAATCAACTTTTTAATCAAAGTACGCTGTTCTTCTGAACAATGTCTTGAACGACCCATTTTCCTCAGGCTTTCAAATGCATGTTCAACAAGTGCTGGCTTCATCCTTAAATAGGGGCCACCTAATTCACACCTGTTATTTCACAAAATTGATGACCTCACTGATTGAATGCCACACTGCTATTTTTTTAAACACACCCCTTTCAACTAATTGCCCAATTGCACAGCCTTAAGAGCGTGCATAGTGTATTTTAAAGTGCTTGAGAGGTCAGTTCCAGTAGGGTCTGTCCATCTAATACTTGGGTTTATGACCAGATACCTGCAATACTGGTGACATTCCTATCAACTTCAGTTGTACTTTGCATTTAGTGCTATTTAGCAAATGTTAGTATGCTAACATGCTAAAGTAGTATACTGTGCCTAGCATCACAGTCGCTAGCATGACTGTAAAACTCTTGTATCTTGTGGAATATTAATTACTTTAATCTCTTCAGACCCTCAAATAAAACAATTTGCTAAGGAAACGAAAGGGTCACAAGTTTCCTCATTTAGGAGGGGGGCAAAGGAAAGTACCACCTCATTAAAAATTAAATTAATTACAATAATTGCTACTTGCAGCCTAGCAACTACTTACAACTGGAGAAAATGACAGGACAGGATTTGCTCACTTTAACAGGGGTGAGTAGACAAATCTGCAAAAATCTATAAATGTTCAACTTAGTCTTGTAACAGCAAAAAAAGTCTTTACAGAGAAGTTGTCAGTGTTAATTTCCTTCTCACACTCTCATCTTCCCTCTGTTTCCTTTTGCCATCAGCTGACCTCTCAGCCTTTTTGTTGTTCACTGGTTTACACCCTTTTTTCTTATCTTTTATTTCTCTGTTTACTCCTTTCCAACAGTGCCCCTTCTACAGCTACACTCCTCCTTCCACATCTCCACTATTTCCTAACTAAGTCTCTATCCTTTAGGTGCTGGATGATGGAAGCATCAGCGACACATTCACCCATAAGTCTTTGTTCCCGGAGGATATGGATCCTCTGTCAGTCAGTGGGACCCTTAACCCTGATGGTACCCTGGTGGTAAGCGTTCGTCGAACTGCAACACTGGGTGGTCTGGAGTCTCTAGAGGTCCCTACCTCTTGCAGTGAAGCTCATCTTTGACTTGTGGCCTCACCAAGCTTTGCACTGTATGGCAGCTTATACTGTTTTAATGTTATTACTTTATTATAGTGTTGTCAGTGTGGTGCAAGCCAATTAAAATGTAAACAAGTCTGTGAATGACAGACTTTTGTTCTCCAAGTCAGTCCTGTCCAGCAAACAGTTTGATCCAGAGTACCATGAGATTTAATAAGAATATATTTATAATATATTATATTTACATAAAGCACCACTGTCATGTTAGTTTTCCCTTTGTCCATTTTTTTTGTTCCATAACATTATTTGCTGTAAATGTCTGCCAGAAGATGAGTCCATAAATTTTTACTGTCTGTCTCAAACCTTTCTTCTAGCATCCAACTGGCTCTGTTTCACTAGCACATAAACATTATGAGGTTTGGAAGTTAAAGCCACTATGCGGAGAATTTTTTAAATGATTCATATTGTTTGAAATGAAAAGTGGTGCCCTCTAATTTGACAGCCAAAGGGTAAGTGAAAATCAAAACAAGCTCCGCTCCTCCCTACCCCTGTTGTCCTGTCTATGAAACTATGTTGCATGTGGTCATGACGCCCGGGGACACTTGTGGCAGTCAGGTAGTGAAGCAGTAATAACTGGCTCCAGACCTAGTTGTAATAGCTTTATTATATGTAGAGGGGAAAAATGGCAGAAAAATGAAAAACATGAGCTGAAGAAAAAAAAAACCCCGCTGGGTTGAAAAATCAAAAAATTGACTGGGGAAAAAAGAGGGTTGGGACAAAAAATAAAAGGGCTGAAACATCAAAAAAAAAAAAAAAAAAAAAAAAAAAAAAAAAAAAAAAATCGCTGAAAAATCCAAAAACTATCAACAAAACAAAACAAAACACAAATCTCCCACGATGGGATGAGTGGCTGCAAAAAAGGTTTTGTAAAGCTTTGATTTCAATAATAAATGGTTAATTTATGTGCATGTCCTCAAGAATGCTGCTGGATGATTGTCTGGCCACAGAATGACATCTGGTTAAGGACTGCCTAAGAGGGAAATGGAAAAAGCTTGAATTTAAAACATGATATGCTCTATAATTTCAACCCATCACATTGGTTTTGACAGGTTTGCTTCCTTTTGAACAAAGGGCTTTTAGCAGGCACATTTGTACCTGGGCAGTGAATATCCTTTCATATATGCAGAATGGACACTGCAAAGTTCCACGTCAACATTATCTATTTAGACAAAATCAGGGGGGAAAAATTGAAATACAAGGTGTCATCTCCATATGTTACTGAATTACTGGTGGCAAGTCCCAAGAAAAGGCCAGGCTGCTGATTTCATCCCTCTACTGGTCAGACGGATTCATCGCCATCAAGCCTATAAGGAACATTCACTTTTGTTTACCCTCAATTTATGAAACAGGCTATGCAAATTTGATCTTTAACAGTAATTTAAACTAATTTGCAGTTGCAAATCACCACTCTTGTAAAAAGGTTCAACATTTAAGCAATACTAAACTGAAGGAATGTTAAATTTCACTTTAAGAAACAATCCACAGCAATAAGAATTTAATATAACATTTCATAATGATCTGAACAATTTACTTACCATCTGAATTGTTGTCTGGAGGTTTGTAGTGCGAGTCCATGATGTTTTGGGTCGTGTGCCTCCAAGTTCTGGAGTTGATGTACTCAGCAGGTCTTCAGGTGGACTGTATTCAACAAATACATTGTGCAGTGTATAATGTACAAGAAAAGTGTTAAATACATTGTTTCAGTTTTACGGTTACTTGCCTTCTATGAAACAATAGGGGTGGCCACAAACAAGACAGTTGGGGAAAAGTAACTACATAAATATTGTGTATACATCATCTATGCAAAGTATGGTTAGTCCTGTTGTGCATATTGCCAAAATACAGCAAGTGAACATGAGTAATAAAGTACCATCAAGTACTAATACAGTCTCAATACAGTTCAATTTTGACAAAATGATACAGGAATATTTTAGCAGCTCTGTAGGTATATTCCAAATTTAGTATGAAGCCAACAATGGATGAGTAAGCCTGTAATGGTAATTAAAAGTGCTACAAAAGCTAGTGAATCCACCTCTCACCTCATGTGAGATTAGTGTCACCTACCTTTCACTGCACCACTACCTCTATTCATGAAGAACAAAGACGTCCTTCATACAACACAATAAACCACCACCCCATACACTGCATCCTAAAAAATGCCCGCCCAGAGCATCTCTTAAGATGGAGAATATTTTGTACAAACCTAACCACATAACATTCCCTACAGTAACTTTCTTCAGTGTAGGGGCAGATGATAATTATCTCTGTGTATAACTGCACCATTAACCATTAAACCTAGTTAGCTACCAGTTTCTGACTTGTAAATACCACCAAGGGATGTAGGACAGATTTGGAAAGTGGTGGGCACTTTTTTGATGCACATATAGAATATATGGTGTTATAACACTAACTACATGACACTATTAATAATGCAATATACAATGTTTTATAAATATTTGAAGCAGGAATACTCTATTGGACAGCACCAAAGCTCTCAGTTGAAATTCTTACCTGGTCACCTGTCTCTTCTCTCTCTTGATGCCTGTATGGATAGCCACAATGTAATACGGTCACCGACAATCATATCTGCCTTGGTTTGGTCTTGCACAATAGTTTTTTTTTTTTAAACAATTACATCAGAAGGATGTGCTCAGTGAGATAACATGAAAGCACACAGGTCTGTCTCTCTGATGCCTGTACTGACAACCACTAAGTGAGACACCTTAACTTAACAAAAGGTCATTGTTCATACACTCAGAATGAGCGATGGGAGAAACTGGTTTAAACAATGCTCAAATCAGTAGGATGTGAGGTAACATTATGAATGAACAAATCCTTACCTGTTCACTCCTCTTTTCTTTCTCTGCCTGGATGGGGCTTCTTCTCCTTTTCTTTTCCCGTCTCCAATATCTGTATGAATGACAAAGTTAAATGAGAATGAATAGAACTCCTAATTTGCTATACAAGTTATTAAAATGAAGGGAGCTTCTGATTTGTAATACAACTGTAGATAATTTAACTCACCAAGCAAGCGCTTACTGGTACACGTTATTCCCAGGGTCCATGATGCTAATCCAGACTGATGAATTAAGAATAAATATTGCACGAGGTTCATCAGAAAACAAACATTAACTACAGTAACCCCAGGCTGGAGCCACACAGCAACTGGAGAAGACGGGATAGCAAACTAGCAGCTTTGGAAGATTTAACGTTACTACTGCTCCTTTTGTTTGGCCAACAAGTATAATACCAAAATCAGTTAATATTACCAAATTCATAAGTAACGTTAATAGCACAACATTTTTCAGATCAGAACTGGGCCACTTCCATATAGTAATCTGGGTTCAACAATTCCTCAGTCTTGAAGGTGTACACAGTGGTAAAAACTAATTCCATGTGTTAGTTTTCTGTGGACAGAGCTCCGTTATTCAGGAGGCAGCTTGTGGAGAAGTTATTAAACTGTACTGAAATCTGTTTTTATACTTCTCTCTACACATTTGTCATCTGTTGGTCAGGTAATGGCTGCAGCATAAAGTCTCCTGTTGCAATCACAAACCTTGACCCTATGTCACCAGCACAATTAAAGGTGCATTAACTGCTATAAGATTTTACACTTTGTTGGATAAATCAAGTAATGATGTTAGATTATTTTGAGTCCCTCTACCTAGCTTCTTTTTAGCCTCTAGAGTATCTTAAAAAAGAAGCATACACCTCTATTAACAGTCTCCAAGTTAATTTGGATAAGATGCTGTTTATTGTTGCAGCTTGTGTCGGAACAAAAGGTGCACTTCTGCCTATTTTCCTAAAAAGTCTCGACTAGTGCTCTGGAAAGAAATGGGCTCTCCAACAGTAAGGAATACACTGCAATATAACCGTTATTTCTTCCCTGAGGTAGATTGAGATTAAATTTTAGGAGTATAAATATTGTAGTAGTGGGTGTTTATGAAGGGATCTCTTGCCTGATCAAAGTGCAAGTTTAGGAACAAAGGTTGTATAATGCCTAAGCTGGAAGTAATCTTCAACAAAACATTTTGTTAAAATCTCATTTATTCATCCATGATATACAAAACCAAATTTTCTGTGTGAAAAATAGCTCTGGATTTTGTTCAGCTCCATGTGGTTTGGCCCTCAGGGTTTGCCGAAATGGATGCCTCAAGTATATACAATGTGCCGTTCCTAAGAGCCATAAGGAGTTGATAAAAGATAACCCTCAACAGTTGATTGAGGATCTGGTCATATCAAAGGCCCTCAGAAAAAAAGGAGATGATAGAGGGGAGCATGATAAAACCGATCAGTGCATCAATATTTAAAGGCAGGCTTGAATGAGAACACCAGCTACATTCTATGCAGCAGGATTCACCAGAGAGCCTTTTAAGACCAGACGAGAAAGGTTTCCCAAAGCCAGAATGAGACGTCTAGGCCATTTTTCTCCATGAACTAAACACATAAAAGGTGCAAACAGTGTCTTAAATATGTTAATGCTGATTCTAGTGATATTCTGACAGCTTTTACTGAGGCTTCTGGGAAAGCTTTCCCCTTGTTAAACTGTCATTTAAACATCATTTTAACACAAGCGCCCATGTGCGCGTCAGTTCTCCTCATATACATACATGTTTTTATACTTTTTAGGTTTGTTTACAAAAATAAAGTTATCTCGCATTCATATCATCAATTAAAAGTGGGTTACAAAGTGAGATGATAAACTGTTATTGCACAAATTAAACACCTACAGGTAGATCATCCATAAAAAGAATGAAAAACAAACCATTTTACATCTTCTACTTGTGATGACTACAGCCTAATAAATATGCACCTTCTACTATAGGTGTCTAAGAGCAAAGGAGATGAAAAACTGTGAAATGTCCATAGAGGGAAGGCTCTAGCAATAGGCAGAATAATGAAAGTAGAATTATAGAAGGTTGGCGTAAGCTGGGGGTTGGTGTGGGTGACAGGATGCCAGGTTGTCATAGTGATAAGTGCACACCGTGCTGACACATCAACCACCCTGCTTACATATTTGGAAAGTGCCTAGATGCGTATGACTAGAAAACAGATTCAAACACTTGGTGCCGATTGCTTATTGATAAAGCAGCGTGGTTGATGCAGGCACTTGTGGAATGAACATGTGACCAACAGACCACATGCGGGTCCCTTCAACATTCAGCTTCCCTCGGATTCACAATTACATTTGTTCTATGTTACTATCAGGGGATAGTTCAGGCAGCCATTGTGAGCCCTTACCCCGTTACCGTTATTTGCACTTTACCAATAAATGCCTTAAGCAGTAGAAACGTTTCAGGACAGCATGAGAATCAACTTAAAAATAATCAAATGTGAAGAATGCCACAAATATAAAACAAACCTGCAAATCTCTTTCAAAAAGAGAACAATCAGCAATTTAAGACTGGTTAAGACATTAAATTATGATTTTATATTACAGGAATGATAAATATATTAACTTGTAAGTACAACTTTGCTAACCCAAAGACCCCACCTCCCATTCAAAATCAATAAAGCTCATTGGATGAATGGAAGATGCCAATCAAAGTGACATAATATGCCATTTCACATCAAGTATAAAATAAGATACATATAACACACAGACACAAGATAGCAAACAGAAGATCATTCACTTGGCCCACAATCATTTTTGTCAAGCTTCTGTTTTTGGTACATGTTGATCACATAACACAAATCTCACATGCGCTGTCTCTCCCACAGAGCCATGCTGTTGTACTGGATGTATTTTACTTTCAGTGCTAGTAGCAAGAATAAAATGAAGTTGTGGATGAGTGTGTGCTTAAGGCATCCAAACAGTAGAGCAAATTCTGTGGGAAGCAATGAGAATCACTGCCTGGTCCCAATAGATTCAATAAAAAGTAACCCAACAGTAGAGGGTAGATGAACAGAAAGCATGCTGACAAGCCTCAAGCACTATTGCCGACATGAATTATTAAATACTCAGTACTTATACATGATCTGTCATGTCAGACTGCTTGCTCAATCAGAAACCATGCTGCCATTAAAACATTAATGCCTCGAGTTAAATCCTTAATCCGTCGACCACACTGTGGCTGGAGTGCTAATTTAATAACGATTTGTTAAACTGGGTGGATTTTGAATGGTTAAACTACATCTCTGAATACTCACCACTAGTCGGTTAGATTTCCTTTAGTGATTTTTTTTTTTTTTTTAAATCCTCACTGGATGATGCTTCAGTCCACCCAGACTATTTTTTTTTTGCATCAATCAAGCCCATTCTACTCATGTATCGTCAGCTTTAGCGTCTGCCTCAGCCCTGGACCATTACATCATATAACTTGTAGTTCTTGAGGGGGGTGCTCTTGTGTCTCTGATAGTAATGGAGGTTAGCTAATATGGCAATCAAAGGCAGATTGATGAGGGCCCAGAGCAGCTGGTTATGTAATGATGTCTTTATTCTTTCATCCATCCATTTGCTCGCTGCTCTTCCTCCCTCCCTCCCTCCCTCCCTCACTTCCTGCCCTCTCCAGCCACCCTAGCCTCCTCTGGAATGGTTATTAAGAGCTATATTTAGATAAAGAAAACCTCGACTCAGAGTGTACCACCACAGAACGTTTGCGCGTTTCTATGCATCTTTGTGACGGAAGGCTGTAGCTACAGTATGAAAGGAGGGTGTCAACAGGCATGTCTGCTTGCATAGATTATACTCTCAAACTGACCATTAAGACTCACAGTGACGAGATGAGAAGTCCAAAGAAAAGAGGAATATTAGCAACAGGAAAAGAAACAGAAAAGCAAGGCATTTGTCCCCTTATGAGTCCAATGCTCATCAGTGGGACAAACTTTAGTGTGATTTACAAAGAAATGACCCTATGGCAAATTCCAGTTAAACCAAGATCAAACAGAAATTAAATTATTCAAGCTGGAAAACTAAGACATGTACCAAAGGCAGCAAAGAAATACTTGTTTGCTACATCCCTCTTTATGCTTACTCACATTTTCTCCTTTCATGCACTCGCACTCACACTCACAGTACACACACATTA